TGCGTTTTTTTTTTTTTTTGTATAATTTAGTTTATTTTTGAGATTTTTTTTGGGGTTTTTTTTTTCTTGTTTTCGGTTCTGGTGAAGATCAAAGACAATTTACAATCAGCAGATACATACAAAGTTTTTCACCCGCTTGTCGGGTCATTCATCTCAACTTTTATTCACACGGTATTTTATACACTCGTATCAGACTTCTCGCATCCAGAAGCATCTATATGTAAATTTTTTCTTACTCCTTGGTTTCTTACGTGAGATTTACGCTCTAGTTTTTCCCATTTTTCGCGGTATTTTTCATCCCTCTGACGTGTCGTTGAATTATATCGTGCTTTTACAATTTCATATATATATTTTTTTGGATTTTAATAGTCTTTTTGAGGAGGGAAAGAGTCTAGTCTATTTACAAAGTTGTTTGGATTATTTTTTCTCTGGATGATGCACTGTTCAAAAAAATTTTGAAAAAAGCTTCCGTTCGGCAGCAAAAAAGGAAAAAAAAACACAGAAAAGCAGTGGCACCACTTTGAAACTTCATGAGTCATTAAATAATGAGAAAACACAAGAACATTATAATTTCTCACGTCAATCCCATCGATAATGGTCCATGAAAATGAAGATCAAAATTTTTAAAACTTGAATTTTGGTGAAAAGTGTGGAATTCCGTTAACCGTGTACTTTAGCAAAATTTTTAAACTCCGTCAAAGTGTTATCACATTAATTCGTGGAAATTGTTTTCTCGTACCTCGTTGAAACTCTCGGTAAACATAATGTCCTCCGCCGACGGATTTATTGTGAATATATGCGAGGGCTGGGGGTTCGTGCAACATCTCTCCACTATTTACAGAGTAAAGTTTACTGCAAACTGATGAGTCGCTCAGGGAAGCCTTCAACTTCCATCATGTTATCTTTGATACATACAGGATGTGAAAATATAAGTAGATATTCGAGTTGAGAAGAGTCAGAAGACTCTACAGATTTTATTCAGAGGCTGGTAATAGAAATTTTTTGAATAAAAAATTAGAAAATTTATTAGTGACTCCAATGCGGTGATATATCGCGATAAACAGGACGGACGACAATTTTATAACTAATTTACAAATTAATTCTTGGTATCAATTTAATCGAGTTCAGTGATTATTATTTTTTCAACTCATTTCCTACAGTAGTTTTTCTCCATCTTTTCGCCATTCGATAATAGCGTTTATCCAGGGGATAAATTATGCGGCTAGAGTAAAGAAAAACCGGAGATTGGAGGATAAAAAATTAATCGTTAGAAATAGCGAATTTCCGGTGCACTCTAATCCCGATAATTTCCCCAGCAGAATGGGGCGTGATATCCAACGATTAAACTCTCGACTCCAAACGCATTACGAAACTGGAAACAATTTTTTTTTATCGCTCCACATTTTCTTTAAATAATTTCCACTCTTATCGTTTGCTTGTTTTTTTTTATTATCTTTCTTTTCTCGTCGTTACTATTTTCTCGTCGTTCTATTTGTTGGAGAATTGAAGTCACATTTGAAAATCGTTGGATACAATCTTGAGCCTCGAGTCAACGTCTCCACGTTCCTCAGATGAGAAATGCAAAAAGTTAAAAAAGTAGAAGTGAAAAAAAAAAATAAATAAAATAACATTGAAGGGCCTTTGCAATGCCGTCACGTTCATGCACGGATTTTCAAATCCGTTCTATCGAGCTTTTCACCTCGATCTTTTGTTTTACTTCAGAGTCACGTGCCGTTGCATTTTTTTTCACCATCGTTTCGGGTTATTTATCTTTTTGCTCGTGTCTTATTGCGGCTTTTCTTATCGGTTTTGTTGGTTTAGGGAATTCACCTTACGGGGCTTGTTACTGAGGAAGAAATGTCCTTCCACGGATTTGGAGATATTGTACGTTTTTTCTGTTGTTTTATTCGTTATTGTTAACACAGGGAGAATAATTCTCAGTTCAAGAAAAAAAATCATTTGCAGGTTAATCTCGTCTTGATTCGAGGATTTTATTTTATTTTAATCACGAAATATTCAGTTTTGAATGTGAGTTTTTTTGCAGAGACAATTTTTTGGAGCAAGAACTGCTTTCTCTCTGTAAGACAATTGATTAAAAAAATTCAATACTCTCAGAATTTCTGTACATACATTCAGCCACTCCATAAGATATTATTTTTCCCAGTTTCTTATCTCTATACATGTTTTTTCGAGGATTAATACGGCCCTCGGTGTCGATACATTAATTTTCATCGTGCAATAAATAAATTTAGAATGGTATTTACTCCCGTATATCATTGACTCCAACTCCCACTAGAGTCAGCGAAACCCTCAGGTTCAAATGGTCGATTAATTTACATTTAGTCTAGTCTTACACTGAGAAAATAAATTATTTTATCTGCAATGTAATTCTCATAAATCTGAGAATTACGATTTAAAAAAAAAATATCTGTCCCAGGCAAATAAAATAATTTTTAAACTCAGTATGCACTTCGATCAATTCTCAACTATCGATAAATCGAATAATGCATTACCCTATTTTCTCTCATCTCTCGGTAAATCAGAAACGTGTCACAACTCGTGCACTGACGGAATTTTTGTGCATGAAGCGTTATGATCGAGAATGAGGTAAAAAAAAAATGGAAGGGAGGTGAATAAAAATGGAATATCCGGCATCAGCTATTCGTTCATCTTGCCACCCAGGCCCACCCGCATCTCCGTCTCGAAGGCATCGGATTACTCGAGCTGACGAGTTAAATTTTACCCGGAAATCGAATCGACTTGCGAAAATTCCCCTATATCCGCGGGCTCGGGGTATATCGAGATTGGAAAATCCTTCGCGAAAAAAAAAATACAACTACCTTCTCTTATTGGTTCGGATGTTGGGTGTTGTCAACCGGAAACATCGAAATGCCAATTGATCCCGCGATTCTACCCGGATGATGACCTGAAAGAGCCGGAATTTAACTGACGGAAGTAAATTGAAAAAATTTTATTTTTCGAGATTTGTCTCTGATTTTTCGTTGAATTTTTGCGAATATCTACGGATTTTAGAGAAATACCGAAATTTTTGTTATTACCTTTTTTGTAGCTTTTGATTTTTCCCGCAAAAAAGGTTCTGATGAAAATTTTGATACTCTTTAAATGAGAGAAATAATCGAAAGGAGAACGAAGGATTTCGCGAATTTTTGGGTGAAGGGTGATATGTGCAGCGAGGCCAGTCGCAGCGTTACAAAGTTATACTCATCTTACGTTAATTACCTGCGGCTTCACTCATTAACCAATCACGCGAGCTAAACATTTGCCCCAACTCGAGTTGAAATGTTTCAGCAATCAATCACTCTCAATAATCCATTCCCGACTGTTGGAAAACATTCAATATTAAATCAGTCAATTGAATTGTCACTGAATTGTCAATTAATCCAAGAATAATTCACCTGAATTTATTTTATCATTTGACAACAAGAATTCAGTAACCAAATGAAAAATTTATCAAACTCGATTAACGCAAACCAATATTACTTCATAATTTTCCAATATTCGCTGCACCACTTTGTTACTGAATTCTGAAAATTCAATTCTGCAATGTTCGCAACAGTTTATCGTCATTCATCCCCATTCATCCCTTAATGTATCTAAGTAACTCTTAATTAATTGAATTAACACCCTCGAATAGTCAAAAAATGCTTTCACTCAATGTACATTAATATTTATATCACACTCTCGCTATTTATACTTTCGCCCATGAATTTGCCGAGGTCAATGGGTAAATGCCTTTGGAATTGGCTTGTGGCTAATCGGTCAAATGGTCAGTGTTTTACCGTCATGCATGGGGAGATAGTTTGACCGCAATGCTCGAATGTACAGGCGAGATTTTACCATCGGGTAAACGTACCGGAAGTGAACACATCTATCAATAGTTAAATTGTACATTGGTTTATCATGAGCACCGACAGTTCCTGGGACTTAAACCTGAGGTCTTCTCTCTGGTTTTATTTACAAATTCAGTAGTTGCGCGCCTCTTGACTGAATTTGCAATCGAAACTCAACCACTCGGAGTTTCCTGTATAAAGTATAATCGGATAAGACGAGTTGGGGAATTGTTAATTGAAATCAGTTGGTGGAAAATAGCTGGTTGGGGAGAATGTTGCTTCAGCTGAACCATTATCCTCATATTTTTGTGGTTTCAGGGCTAAACTTTCACCCTGGTGAAGTGACAGTAGAATTTCGGACAATTCAGTGAATTAAACTTACGAAACTTTCAATTTAAAGGACATCACAGAGAAAAGTTCAATGTTTTCTTTTAATTATTGAGAATTCACTGAAATTTCAAATGAACCGAACGGATTTTACAATATTCTGTTAATTTTCATGGAATAATCCACGTGACGATTACAAATTGAATTGAATTTTCAATTATCCATAAAAAATCCTGTGAAAAATCTATTATCAATATCAAAATATCAAAATATCAAAATATCAAAATCAGAATCAAAATCAAAATCAATATCAATATCAATATGAATATGAATATCAATATTAATATCAAAGGATCACAATCATTGAGGAAATTTAATTCAATAGTAATTAATTTGATTCTGCCCTCTACCCCAGCAACTCCGTCGTTCTGTAGTTTTATCCCTTCCACTTGGTTCCCTCTTCAGAAACGAGGAGGGAATCCACTCGTGATAATCCCGAGGGTAGTGTGACAATGTGCATATAACATGTACTGAAATACGTGTGTCAGGGTAATCCCTCAGCAAGTACTCAAGACAAAGGCGGACTCTCGAGGGCTGTCGGGTGTACAATTGTCGGAATTTTCGAGTGCTCCACATGCATTTTGTTAATCGGTAAACACTGACCATTTGCCCTTCTTCCCTTTCTCCTCCTCCCCCTCAGGGTGAACATTTATATTACTCATCTCAAGGCCACGCACCACATACTTAATCGATAAACTATTCACTGCTAATCGACTACTCAGAAATTCCGACATTATCTATGGGGGCTGGTGTGTGCATTCATCACGTTGAGATGATGATAATGAGGGGTAGGAGGATGGTGTCCAGGGTGAAACGGTGGGCATCCCCTCGGGCTGAGCCACGCAGATCGCCAGCACTCAGCCGCTGGTTGTTCACGTGTGCCATTTGCACGTGCCTCTCAGACTCCTTCTGGTGGGAGCCAACTGATGCTAGACATCGAATTGCAACAATTCCGTTGACGAAGTGACGTTCCTCTGCCTCGAGGCGCAGCCCCAGGGTATTTGGTACACCACCTGATGGCACTGGGTACGATGACGGGTAAACTATCGTGTGCTCCGGGGGTACCTGAAACATGGCGATAACCGATGTTAATTTTCATTTGGTAAAAGCATTTTCGAAAATTTTTTGCGGGAAATTACGGTGAATGATTTATAATTTTTTTGATTGACTGAATTTTATGTGATAATTAATTGAGGCAGAAGGGGAACAACCGTGGCAGGTTATCAGTCACAACTCTCATCCATGCGGCTATCCCATTGACTCGTTTGTTATTGATTGTTTTTTTAATCGAGAACTGCAAATTTTAATTATTCGGGTTAATCAGGGAAATTATTACTTGAATTTTTCACATTTTCATGGATTTTCCGTGGGATGCACATCTGAGTAATTGAGAATTACCTCAATTACGTGAAAGAATTGACTGATTTTTTTAGAATTCTGTAGAAATTCTTAAGTATTTTCTCGTTGTTACAAATTTCGAGCTTTTTCAGGTGAAATTTCAATTGGAATTTCCTGAGAGCTTTATAAAATTTGTCAATCCCGCGGATTTTTGAGAAGCTTTTCGATGTCCCTAAATTTGAAGAAACATCTCGGTGCCCAATAAAAAGACAATTTCCAGCCGTAGAAAATCAAATAATCCTCGTAGACACGAGGGTGGCACTGGTGAACGTGAAAAAACACGAAAGAATAACAAAGTATGGGTAAAAATACATAGTGAGGAATATTTCTTCCCGCACTTTTATTTCCACTTGGAAATTACGGTCACCGACCTGGCGTTGAGCCACACGTCTCTCCGAGGTAGAGGATTCCTCGTGTTCTGGATCTCTTTGGATTTTCTCCCAGGTCCTCCCATAACGTCTCTTTACATTTCTACCTCCTTAGTTCTATGGCGAATTTTCCATCTATCTCTCGGTGCCCGCGACTTTACAAGATTTACGCCTCGTAAGGACATTCGTCTTGCGATTAATCGAGCGTGTCCTGCCATTGGGGGGGAGCGCCAAATTCAATGGATATATTTCAATGATTATCGGGGATAAATAGGCACCGTCTGCATTTCCGGAGGAATGCCAATTTTTTTTGCGCGTCATCCCAGAATTTTTTCATAAGCGATAATTTTATGAAAATTCGAAAGAAATCCAGAAATTCTTGAAAATCTAGAGTTTGAGAGAATTCGATATTTGCATTCCATAAAAATGTTTAAAAATATCTAAAATTTGTCCGATTTATATAATTTATAAATATTGATTAACGATAAAAAAAAAACGGAATATTTTTTTATGTCAATCTGATCGACGATTTCCCTCGAAATTACGAAGAAAGAAAATGAAAAATGAAAAGATATCAACGGGTACCAACTCCTTAAGAGTATTTGCTTGACATATTTTCTTGAAAACAAAATTTCGCTGAAATGTTGAAGAATAATGGAAACTCTCACGAAAGCTTTCACCTAAAATTGAATTAAAGCCTGCAGCATTGAGAATGCGGATGCAACCGCTACCGGAAACTCAAAAAACTTCTAACAATGCGTAATTATCCTGATGCTCACCGAACCAGAGCATCCTGTAATTTCCAAAAATAATACCCGCGGAAAGCTCATAATTACACGACGACAAGACCAAGAGGATGAGCTCCCTGTGAGGGGTTTCGAAAAAAAAAGTGCCAAAAAAAAAAGTATGAATAAAACTCATCCGACATAATTCGAGTATCTCGTAATGGAAGAAACGTAATTCAGTGCGGCGGTGTTTGCTGTGAGTACACAGAGACGTGAAAAAAGATGAAAAAGAAAGAACAGGGAAGAAAAATAAAAGGAGAAACAGACATACAAAAGCTCTTGGAGTGTCCCTGAGTCCCTTTTCGTTTCGCCTCACGCCCGCAAAATCCCGGTGTCTCGCCAGACGATACGAGACGACGTGAGCCGCTTTTCCTCCAGATATATCTGTATATCGTACCTGAATATAATACGTGCGATTTCCACCTCCATGTGTTGGTGCACTATACGTTATTTTTTCCGGGGGATGGAGACGATCCCTTTAATGACTCCACACGGTTCTGCTCTTGATTCTCTCTGGGTCTGTACTTGGGAGCCAACTCAGCCCCAACTCCTACTAAATTCTCACTTGACGGTTTTAAACCGTTACGACGATACGAGATGGCCGAATTCCCCGAGATATAAAAATATTATAAATCTCATTATCGTGAGGGGGGATTTTACTAGGTTTTTCTTCAAAGAAATGATTCCTCCCCTTTTTTTATTATTTGAGTTTCGATTCGATTTCAATTAAAACGAACATCAAATTTCGAATTTATCATGGAAATTCGAGAAAATTCGATTTTCTCGGATGATAATTGATTTTGCAATACAAGCTGGGGTTTTCAATAGATTGAAAATTCTGGGAAATTGGTAGTTTGAAGTATTGATTTGAAAATTGCGAATTACTTGAATATTCAGGATGTTAATGATTCGTCGATGAATTATTCAAAATTCCTAGTTCTTTGACTGGGCATTTGAATTTTTATTTCTTAACTGGGTCGCGGATTTTTTTGGGGAAAGGAAGATTTAAGGTGGAATTTTAGGAGGAAATTAAACTGATAATAAATTTTTAATTCGACAATTCCTTAAACTTCAGTGAAACTGCGCTGTTGAAATAACACAATTTTCCGGGAAATCCATGAATCTCCGTGTTCCCCCGAAAATTTGAGGATAATCTTGATTTTTCAGGGGATGGACCAGAATTTCCATACCAACTGCCACTAAATTCCTACGTGACGGGTTTAAACCTTTACGAGAAAACGAGAGATGGTCGAATTTTCGTGGATATAAAAAATATGAAAAATCTCCTCATCATGAGCGAGACGAGTTTTCTTTTCTTTTTTTTTTTTCGAAATGCCACTATTTCGGGGTAAATGGCCCCATAAAGTTTTTTTATGCACTCGAATGTGAGAATTCCCGGATGAGATGTAATAAGAGTAATTACCGTCTTTTATTCAACTGCGAGTAATGCCAGCGGTTTTTGCAATGCGAAGTAGAAAAAGTATCAGGGTAATGCATTTTGAAGTACTTTTCGTACTTTAAAATGGAAATTCTTTATAGACGCCAGTAGCACGGAAAATTTCCAACTGACATTTACAGCTTCCCTGAATATTTCCGTGAAAACTCTGAATTTCCAATTACAGACACTTGAAACTTCACTTTAAACATAATATCTTTTTTGCAATTATTCTTTAAATTCTCGGGCAAAACCAATTGACATTTTAGTACTCAGCCGAATGGTTTTCACTTAATGATGGCTTGGCGGTTTCAACTCTCACCTCGAGTGCTTCCCTCCCCCGATCACCATAACAAAGCGCAAAAGTTAACGAAGGGTTGATGAAAATTGATATCTCTGCCTTGAATTGATTCCTCAAAGTAATTCCCGAGCGTTTAGTATCACAAAGTCAAGCCTGCACACGTTGTATTACGTAATTTGATCCTCGAGTTGAACTCTATCTCAAAGCCCTGGCGGTGGCTGTTAGCTGTTACCGGTGGGGTTCTAACCCCTTTCCACCCCCTTTTCACCCCCTTTTCACCCCCTTTTCACCCTTGTTACCACATTCTATAACGCGTAGAAACTAGTTTTACCACGGGCTACTGCTGTAACAAAGTGGAGTCGAAGCGGATGGTCCGTTGTAGTCCGACAGTATGCGGTCAAGTCCAGTAATTAAAGCAAAGTGCCATCTTGGAAATCAAGAAATCCCCGTTCATCATTTTATCACACGATTTCCCAACCAAATGAATAAATTTAACACGGATTTATTCATATTTTTCATTCAGATATGATCTGCAGTAAAAAATTAATTAACTCGTATTGAAAGATCTGGAGTAATTCATGAATCGTTAGAGGTTTTTTTGGACTGGTACATTTTTTTTATTCATAGTCTGTGTATCTGAAAATTGCCTTGAAACTCGAGGCAGATTTTGATATTCAATTCGCGGGCGCGTTAAGTTCACTTCGAAAATTTTCTCGGGGGTTTGAGAATACACCGGGGGACAAGGGATGAATCCGAAACATTTAATTCCACGTGCTGACAGCCATCCCGGAAATTAGAAAGGATTGCATTAAATTCGAGTGTAGCGGCGCTGAAATTTAATTATGTTCTCGAATTTATTGAATTTCACGCGCTCTTCCACACGAAAAATTATTTGAGTATTGAAATAGAATTGAAAATCCAAAATTGAGAATTTCGTTGGCGTCAAAGAAGTGAGTGGATTAATCATGAATGGCCGCTGGCATTTTGTCGAACTGAGTCGCATAAATTGCGAAATTATTGGGAAAAATCCGCAGAGACTTGCAAACTAATCAAATAATAATCCAACTGGCAAAAATTTTCAACTCGTGCAATTAAAAAATATTAGAAATTCATAGTTTATCCACAATTTTTATATATTTTTTTATGGAAAATTTTTTATTATTCCTCGTGGGTGTGAAATATCCGGACTTAATTTACATGATAATTTTCTGGAGGCGATAGCGATTTCCCGAGGAAAAATCGTGAGGAGTACGGAGAAATTTATAGTGCCATCAGTCGAGAAACTCTATTATCAATTTTTCCATTCAACTCTGGGTTTTCCATTCGCACAACAGCGTCAGAGATTAAGTGGCTCGAGAGGGAGGACAGGCTGAACTCGGTACATTATTGACCCCCGAAGTGTGTACTGAGGACACCCCAGCCCCCCCGGTTGCTCAGCAGAGGGTTTCATCGGTTGCTGCCGTTGGAAAACTGCAAAAGAGATGAGCCCCGAGGAGGGCGTCACCCCCCGATCGACCCACTCTTATCCCCCAGCTCATTCTCACTCCCTTTCCTTCCTTCCTTCCTTCCTTTTCACCCTCACCTCGTAAATCTTAAATTTTCCCCTCCCTATCCTATCCTCATTTCCTCTATTTTTCCTCTGTCTGGTGGGGGGTGAGGGTTTCTGCCCTTTTCTTGTTTCCTCAACAATCTTAGCACGTCTTTCACCCCTTTTGTTGTCGGGAATGCACCTTGTTCGCGTGATGATCGAATAGATCAGCCACAGTATCTGGCGAGAATCAAGAAATATGGCGGTTGCGCACAAAGGAAGTAATTCAATGGAAGGTACATCGTAATTGAAAATGGAAAATTTACTCCGTAAAATTTTATGATCTATGCATATAACAACTTTACAGCTGTTTTTTACGAATATCTCGGTAATTAGGGAGTGGATCGAAATTTTTATTATTATCTTTTTTTTAGGGCTGGTTGAGGGGTACAAAAAAGGTTATTACGAAATTTCCCTGTCTCTCTTGGATTTGGAGGTATTCCATAAAAATTGAAGGTATGATGCATCCGGAAGAATTTTTAAGTTGATTTGAACTGTTCATCAGTCTTTAATCAATATATCTCGGAATTGAGGGATTATTTCAAAATTTTTATTATCACCTTTTTTGTAGGGCGAATTGAGAGCTACAAAAAAGGTTGTTGTGAAAATTTCGTAGTTTCACTCAGTCTCGAGTTTTTACGAATTGAAAATGAAAAAGATGAGGAAATTTCTTTACAGCAAGATAATGGATTCGCGTGACCCGCGGGTTTCTGTCTTTTTTTTAAATCACGTACACGATAGTTCGTCTCTTTCTTACTTGAAGAGTAAGAAGTTTTCACTGGGCAAAGAAACGCGAGCCATCGTAATCTGCCACTTTGAGAAAAGTTTTCCCTTCCTTTCAGTTCTTCGTCTGTCCGGTACTTCTTTTTGAAATTTCCAAAGGATCGAAATTTTCTTTTGCCTTTTTTCTCTGAAGTCGGTTGTGGGTGAACTGAGACAGAGAAGAGTAATCACGTAAATAGAAACGCGGATGAATTATTCAGTGTTTCGTGTACCGACTAATTAAACTCGGCCAATGCGTTTTCGGTGACCTAAATGTGCAGATGAGATTTCTAAAACAGCAAAATTCTCCAAATTCAAATTTTTCATCAAAATTAAATGACCGCAAATGTTCCAATTAATTTGTTAATTTTCACTGGTCAATAATCGATTTCTCCGAATTCCTCAATTAATCCAACGAAATTTCAATTTAGTTATTAAATCAGTACAATTACATCTAAATTGAATTCTTGTCCAAGTATACATCCCCTTGAATATCTCCCGAGAATTTATATCGCACCCGATTAAATTCTCCCCCCTGAAAACACTCGATTGAATTTATTAAAAAATAAACCCCGCTCAATGCTTCATTCCATTTCTGATGCAATCAGTGTCTGACCATTGCCGATATCCACCACTCGCTCCAAATATTCCCCCAATTCATCAACTCGCGCTAACGATCTGAATCAAATTAACCCCTCCCCTCGGAATAACAAAATAACAAAATGAGAAGTTTTTTTAAAAAAAAAGGAAGCACCGAACAAACACAATTTGAATGATGAAATTAATGTTCGTTAAACTGATTGATTTACCAGTGAGGACGAATCAGAAATTAACCACTGGGCTGTGAGCCAGGGATGGTGGAACGAAGCCACGGGTTTATCCCCGTGGAATATCGATGAGATTACGAAAGGTATATTCATCTCCCAGTGTCTATACTGTCGTAACCATAGATTCGCGCGGAATAATTGCGTTATGGGGGTTTAGGCTGCGTTTCTCGGTGCTCACCGCAGTCTCAGACTTGTGTTTGAGGAACCGGGGGACACGAGCTAACGAGCGAATCGCTCGTCAACTTTAGATGAGAGGACCCTGATGTAGATCGTCACCAAGTTTACGGTTTTCACGGGGATTTGGTCGAGTAATTTCCCTTACCCGAGGTAAGGGAAATTCTTGGATAAAGCAAGGGCCCTTTTCTTATTCCTGTCCGTCCACAATATCTATCGTTAAATCCGACGACTTGCGCAGAGGATGAGGTACTTCTTGTTGACAATATCCCGGGCACGAGATGAGGTATAAAGTGTGGTTGTTGGATTTTATACTGATTCCACTTGCACTCGGGTTGACATCAGCTGTTTTGCTGTTTGACATTTACGATGATTTTTTTTTATTATTTGGTTGGATAATTTTTTAAGGAATATCAAATTTTTTTTTGTTAGTAGATGAGAGGGAATTAATTAGATGAATTTTCAGGGGCTGCAGACCACGTGAGGTGCGGACTAATGATCGCCATGCATCAGCTGGTGAGGTGATAGGGAGGTTGAACCCTTCAGCTCCAGGTATGTATAACACGTGAGACGTTGGGAGGATTTTGGGGTGGGATTGAGTGAAGGCGTATCTCGTCACCTCGTTATCGGCGAGAGGTAACCCATCACGGCCTCGAAACGTGCCACCACGTTTCACGATACGTGCCGATACCACCTGGCAATCTAACCGGCCCTTTTTCCCCTTTTTCTAGTTTTTTTTTACTCCGATCCTCTGACCAGATCAATCTCCCCCACGAGACCATCCCTGAGATTCGAAGACTATGACTTCACTCAATGCATTTCGCCCATTTTTTTGTGGTAAAAATACCCGGCATTCGAATTGTTAACAACAAATTAGAATTTACACTGTTGAAGGTTTCTTGAAATTTCACAAACTCGTCTGAGTTTTCAGTTATACGAGCGTGAATTCAATTTCAATTAAACATTTTTCAGGTTTCAATGAATTTTTCCGTATTTTTAAAAAGTCGAAAACGGGTAATTTCCAGTGCGTTGTAACATCAGAGGGATTTTTATTAATCATCTTTTATTTAAAATGCTGGGGCATGAGCTGGTCATCGCATACGCAGAATCAATTGATCATATCATGAGTCCCTTATTCCATTTCCGGTGAAAATTTCACGGCACGTTTCCCTTATCAATTGACAAACCACGGAAAAACTGAAGGCAATGGGAAAGATCCCGCCACTTGAACGGTACCATTTCGCCAGCACAGTCGATCGTTTTCCAATTTCCCTCTATCGGAGATTCGCGCGAAGAAATCGTAAACGGAATACTCCCCTTTATATATTTTTTATTCCTCTCGGTGTATCGGCTCATGAATTTTTGGTGGAATATTCCCGATAAAATGGAACGAAACGGAGTTGAATATGAATCATGGAAGTCAATGGTTTATGGTTTCATAATTCTCTCACGTGATATTCGAAGAATTTTCCGTGATACAGATACAACCGAGAATTGTGTTACGAAACTGGAAAATTCGATAATCCCTTTCGATCTTAATGGCAGCTTATCTATTAAGCATATTTCACGATACAACGTCCAGCGAATGGATAACGAGGGGATGGGCAAAAGTTTTAGCGATATAAATGGACCATTGGGTTATACCAGGACCAATCGTTTGTCCCTCGAATCGAGATATCGTAAACCACTCGAAATATTATCTCCGAGGGATCGAAAAAATTCAGTTGGTGTTCTCAATTCCGATAAAAAAGTGGGGTATCCCCGATTGGTCTTTTAATGCTGATTATTTATTACTATACGAGAGCGAAATATTCAATCGCCTCCTGGAGCTCGTCAGTGCTCGTCGGTGCTCGTCGGTGCTCGTCGTCTTCCAGCGATTCGGCTGGATCAGGGTTTACAGGGATTTACAGAGATTGTATGATAACAGTTATGCTCAGTTGAGGCTAGGCGCTTGTACAATCGATTATCAGCGGGGCATTATGACGTGACCACTTGCCTCCCCCACTTTCATCTCACTGTTGAGCTCCAACTGTTGGGTAATTGCCTTTGATGACGATGATGCACCCAATCGATCTCGTGTAACAACCACTTCCCACGTGAATCCATTACCCTGCTTGATTAATTTCGATTAATATGTATGTACCATCCCCAGGAACTATCATCCCCGTTTTTTCATTCATTGAATTCAGAGATGATTACAGAGCTCCAGAGATCCCCCCATTCCATTAATTACCCAGTGTTATTTTACTATTGAAAAAGGAATTCTATGTGTCGTTTTCCGGGAATTTTCACAATTTTCTAGGAATTCCTTTAAAAATATTCAGTTTTATTTCAAGAGTTAGGATGTCAGGCTGGAGCTGCCAAATGTCTCAAGCTAAAACAATGCGATTTGATTTTCCTGCGCGTATGGAACGTACGTTGAGAAAATTTTAATACTGTTATGATTGAAGTTTTTAAAAATGGCGTTCATTGATAGATTGAGCACTTGGAAGGGAGATTTCCATAACGATAAGCCATAAGCATTTTCTCCTATGAAGTATCCTGGATTTTCATATCTCCTGAACGGTCTCTTCAGGTTCTTCCATTGGAGGGAACATTACCCCAGGATTTCGACAAATCGGGGTATGTGGGCTGTGGGATATTATCCGGACGGATGCTAGTGGATATAACGGAAATGGGATTTTAACGAATCCTGGTGAGAATTCTAACGGGATATTCGTTGAAACCAATGGGGTCAGCTATGCCACAAGGGAGGACATAAAAAGTGATATTCCCGGTAATTATTGGGTTGAGCATTGAGCAGACGTTGGTTTCGGACCAATGGATTTATCGAGTTCAATTCATGATGAACGTAATTGAAAACAGATCAACTGCATTAGCACTGGTCTTCCCTCACGTCTGCTCCATCTGGTCTGCCATAATCCAATGTGTAATGGCTATAATGTACTGTACCAGTATGCCGTTGATAGTCCAATGAAGATCTGCCCTCGGGATAGACGGCCATGCCGAACAGTTGGCCGTTACATTTTCCCCAACTGCGTAGTGAGATGACAGTCCAGTAATTTCGGGGCCTCGTTTCGGTAAGGCTGTAAAAATTCATTGCACGTGGTTATTTCATTTCACGAGAAACTCTGGCATCGTCATTATTTCACCCCCGAATTTCCATAATTACAACTAATTTCGTTTCTTTATATTTTTCGCTTGGAGTTATTTACAAAAATATTGAAATTCATGGATGACATCTACTAATAATTTTACCATAGATATCATTTTTTTTGAGAGATGATTTTTTTTTCATTTTTTATCATTTTCTTTTATATTTTTCGGGAAATTACTTTCAGCTGTTTTTTACAGTTTTGTAATTCTTTTTAAAAGTTTGGACACTCGTGAGTCATCAAATAATGATAAAAGACAGAAACGTGATATTTTTTAACGTCAATCCCAAGTTTCGTAAGTTTACCAGAAAAATAAAAAAACGTGAATCGTGACGGAAAAGGTGTAGAAAGTCCTTAAAAATATATTACTGAGTACTCGAATCTGCATGAAAAAAATTGAATCAAGTATGACTCGATTTGTTGACTTGATTCAAGTTTTTTTTCAGATCGTTTAACTCATTCGAAGTTCATCACGAAGTTGGAAGAGAATAAAAAAATGCTGAAGAGTAGAGTGCGTGTTAATAATTCCGGAGCATTTGGACAGTCGTCAGGGAAGAAAAACGAGCCATCTCCACATATCACCCTAAAAGGACACTCCCGCCATTTTGAGAGGCAACCGTAACCATTCCTGAATGTTTCATGAGGCATTTTCACGATGAAATTGGGGGGAAACGACTACCCGTTATTATTCACTATGAATTTCCCTTCACACTCCGCAGTTACGCTATTGTTTATTCATTCGCGGATTAATCAATGCTCCTCGACTTATCGAATTGGGCTATTACGTCGACAACTTCCTGATGGTTGTAATCGGTACACAGGAATTATGAGGGACATTCGGTCACCGAATGCTTCACAACGCTCAATTAAATATTGCCCAGTTGTTTGCCAATCTCCTAGGGGTGGCACACGGAATGACAGAGTACGATGGCAGGCACCATTAACGCCAACGTTCAATGAAATTATTCACGAAATTGATGATAGGGCAGGGTACGTTCAATCAGTGGAATTGACCTCATCCTCTTGAATTTTTTTGTTTTATTTATCATCGGCCCGAGGGTAGAAACTTCACACGCTATCGCCTCAATTATTTCTCGCGCTCAGAAAAAAATATCAATTTTTTTATTTTTTTCTACACTCGACATTTGGATGTAATTTATAAAAATATATACATTTATTTTTTTTCAACAAGACCTTCTATTTCATTGAATTCAAATAAAGATTTATTTATAATAAAAAAAAACGAGAGCATATCGATATGAATGAAATGTAAAACAACAGAATATTGACAATTTGAATAGAATCTCTCGGGGATTTCCATTTTGTGCGTTTAAATAAACTTTATTTGATTCAAATAAACAATTTTTCTCGGTGTAGTAGGTGGATTGTGATTTTTCTAGTGGCAACGACAGGATTCTTTGAAAAGAATTTCTCTCGGTGTACAGTGCGAAAAATCTCGTCTCTCGACTGTTGAACCTGAGCACTCAGTGACTCCTCACATTTACCATCGAGAAAAAAGCGATCTGGATCCCTCAAATATTCCACTTTGAGAGCGTTTGCCAAGTTGTGAAGACTTCTTCCTCAATTTTCCCCTGTTTTATTTTTTCTTCAATTTTTTTTCCTTGCCCTCCATCAGTGGTGGAATTTTTTTTCTCGTTACTTCTCATTTCTTATTTTGCCCCGACGTCGAAGAAAATGCCAGAGGAAGCTTCCGTGAGTGCCTCCCGGTGGCTCAGGAGGCGTACTGGTACCGGAAGAAACCTGACGTCATTTCTCCCTGGTTTTTCCTTCTTTACACCATTCTCTTTGAACGGTCACCATGAATATTTATAGGCTCATGAATATTTAAGGTACTGGAAAGTACGTGTAGCGGTAGGTTGGTTTTGAGAACTGGGATATGCCACTGTACTGTACACATTGCGTCTTGCCTTTTCTTGGTGCTCTGGACCACTGTCAGTTTTACTCAGATATTCTTCAGCGTCGTGGGGAGGGGGCTTATCCGACAAATGGAAATACTTTAGCAGTCGTGAAAATTTGCAAGACAAATACGATACACCGCAGAGACGAGCTTTCCTCAGGAGATTCCACCCTGTCGTTATAATTTTATTGGCTGACAACGGAGGCGATAAGTCGGCCAATTGTTCATTCTACTGCTGTTCAGTCGAAAAAATTTACTGATACCAGTCCATTCTATGGTTTATTCAAGACCAGGGATTCGGATCTTGGGGCTTATTCTCAGGAGAAATCGCTCAAAGGAATAGAAAAAAATGGTTTGAGGCAGCGCGATTTTTTGGGGTGTTTTGTGGTGCTTGTTTTCAATTCGATTCAAGTCAAGCTTTTGTATTGATATTTTTGATACTTGATCTTAAAATCAGGACGGAAAAAGAACTTGAATTGAGTTGTACTGGATTTGGACTAGAATTATTCTTTTATTTGCAATTTTTCCTTCTCCAAATACCAAATTGACTTGAGTTGACCTTTCAACTTGATTCGTGTCGATTTTTGGACTTGACTCAAACCATTTTTTATTTACATTCCAACGGAGAAGTAATTCACCGGATTACCCCTCATCTCAAAAATGTTCTGGGATCTACTTGAATCAAGCGAAAAATAAAAAGAAAAATAAATAGAGTAACAATCGAATGAGCCTCGAATGAGAATAAAATATTTCTTATTCAGGACGCATTTTGGGGATGATCCGTGCTGAATTGACTGATGAAAATTGAATCAGTCAATTCTCGTGGGGACGTAGGATTAGCTTCATGAACTGGTTTCAACAGGAGGGGCTGGACGTTCTCGTATTTTCCAGGGTGGAGACTGGATAAAACTGGGATTTGATCCGTCAGAATTCGCCGGGCGTAGAATCCTCCCCGAAATTACGGAAATTAGCGGCCTCGGAGGGGGTTTAGGACTTGAGCGACGGCCTCCACCGAATGGTTAGGGGCCTAATTCAATTATTTCTCCGCAGTTGACCCAAATGGCCACTCGGCCATGGTACACCCGCAGTCGTTTAGTTTTCGAATTATCCCTATCGTGTTAGTCCGCTGGATTCTCCGCTCCTATAACTATGCATAGGGTTATCTCCATCAGTGTGCACCATATCAATTTAGGTTTATCTCCTTGAATCCTCTTGTTGCTACCAGCCGCCTCGTTACCAGGTGGAATATTACATTGTTTCACTGATGAAATATTATTGATTGAATTGCACAGCGGGAAAACGATTATTTCAAAGGAAAAATCAATTTTCCCGACGAGTTTCGTTTTCGGTTAGAGTCGGAATTGTTTATTCAAATAAATTGAACTTTATGAGGAAGTGAGGAAGTTTGTTGGAATTGCGAATTATATTGCGAATTTCTAGTAACGAATTTTTCATTTTTGAGGGTGAAATTTTATCAAGTTGTTTCTCGGTCTCTTGCAACTGTTATTCCATTTCAAATCCATTACGAGTGAATTTCCAAGAAAAATATGCAATGCTTATAAAACTCGGTGGAGTATCCACTCTCGCGATTACGATGTACTCGAGTCCATGGTTTCGTCATACATCCGGGGGGGAAATAAACTGAACTGTTGCTCGTGGACGGGGGAAAATAGCTCTCTTCAGTCCGACTTTTCTTCTACCCTCGAATGCTTTTCAAGTGGATTTTCTTATCCTCAACGATGAAACAGTTATGGATATGAGGATTTCCCGGGGATATGCCCGGACAGACTCCCGTTTTTTTCATAATCTCGTCAAGTGTTCTTGTTGCCATAGAAATAGTAAAATAATCCGACACGCCCTTCCCAAGAAAATCCATTTATTTGCTTTTATGATATTTTTTTCGAAATAAAAAAAAATCGTCGATAATCCAAAATGAGTATTAATAAATTTAATAACTAACAGATTTTTCTACAACTTTATTCCGCTCTAGGATGTAATATATAATATTTAATTAGCGCCCAGATTTTTTTTCCTGCGAATATAGTCGGGGCTGAAAAAATTCTGATTAAAGTCAATATTTTTCCGATAGTACTCCCCCAGTAATATTATTATAAATAATTTTTTCAATTATGAACTCATTACTTGTTTCTCCGCTCTCCATTTTCGCCTACGATACCAATTAAATTCACTCGCAATTTCAATGTCCAAATATTTTCCTGGCCAATGGGAATAACTTTTTCAATTCCCTTTGCCCCACATTATCCCAATTTACACTGATATCATGATGAATAACAGGATATTCGAAACCCCAGAACGAGATTATGAATAATCCGAGTGATATCTACATCCGTTAATATTTATATTCATTCGTATATTAGCATGTCCAATATTTCATCTCGCATGAAATTAACACACAAAGACAGAAAATGTTAATTAACATTGCTCTCCTCCGCTTTGTCCATAAAGTTATAACTGATATTTACGCAGTCGCACGGTAAATAACTTCGGTAATTAATCCGAAGCCACATAAATTACCCGAGTGCGCATTAATATTCAAAGTCTACGCATTTATCTCATTTTTTTCTCGGACTAGCTTTTTCTGCCATTTTCAGTAATTGAATACGCCGCAATTGTTTTCATTCATACTCTGACTAATTGGATAAAAGCTCCACTTTCATTTTTCTTCCACAACACCCAACAATAATTCGATTTTTGATATTAACGACTCCCTGACATTTTTTTATTTTTCATGTTTTTTGTTAATTATTCCATTTTTTGTTTTTCCCCGTCAATTTTTTCCACCGTTTCCCAGAAATTTATGAAAAACGTGAAAGATGAGAAAATACTGTCAATAACTTCGTAAATTCTCCCGAAAAAAGTCTCCCAAAGACTGAAATTAAAGTGACGGTAGTTATAAAATAAAAATAAAGCAGAAATTCCGTAATGATTGACGTCATTGTCGGAGGATTGAGTGACATCCGCAGTGAAGGGCTCGTCTGGTTGATAAGTAATTACGCGTTCGAGGAAGCAGAAAAGTCTTTTCCAAAGTCATTCATAGCGGTGAGGCCCCCAGCTATTTTCCCTATCTCCTTAAATTACCCAGTCTTCATCCCTCTCTTCCATCACCGGATTTCCATTAAAAAGAAACTATTACAGGTAAATTCCCCCAATCTCGGATTTTTTTCCGGGGTGTAAGTGCCTTCTAGACTCCTCTCTAGACTCCTCTCTCATTCCTAATTGCTGGAGGTATAAGAGGCTGGGGCTTTCACTTGCAGGACGATCTCAGAATGTTATCCACTGGCGATTGACCGAGCCTGGAGGTACGCCAAATAGCCTGAAACATGTACCACTGAAATTCCACGGATTTTTACCCTCTGGCAGGGCTTCTCGCCAGTTCTCCATGAGTTCCAAGTTTTTTTTTTTCTTCTTTTTTTTTTGTGTTTTCTCAAAGCTCGAAGATTCGCAAAGCGACGTGTCCGCACGGCAAACGAGCACAAGGGATTCTCATCATTTTTCTTTTTTACTCGCCCTTACTTTTCTTCTCTCCATCCTTTTCAACTTCTCATTGCTTTGTACTCAAAAAAGGTGCGGATACGCTGACACGGTCAGAGTCCAACCCCTTCCTGGTGACATCGACTTTTCTATACGGGGTAATAAGCCACGGGGAATCCGTACAGCTTCCGCCTGACCTCGGGAAACTCTTTATACCGAGAGTCTGAAGTTGGAATCAAAGTTTTTTGCCGGCCTCCATGTTTTTTTCCCCCTTTTTCCCCTTTTCCATTTTTTCCCTTTTTCCCTTTTTTCCCGTTCTGTCGAGAAAACGGAGGGAAAAATTATTCCACTTTTGGTCAGAACGAGGAACTTATCGATGGTGAGAGAGTTACATTGATTTCAATGGTATTTTTACCGACTGCATTGAATCCAGAATTTCATTCAAAATTAATTACCCAGAGAGACCATGGACGAAAAAAATTTTTTCCAATTCAAATCTTCCCGTCAACAATTTAAAATAATTCAACCACTCATTTTTTCCGGAATTGACTATAACTGTTCCTATACTTTGACCTAAAAATTATAAAAATTAATCATTTTTCTGAAAAAAGTCACTCTAAGTGATTCGACAAAATTTGAAAATAAATTCGCACTGATCCGCAGCCTTACATCCGCTCATTAGCGCAAATGATTAATCATAAGAAACGATGAAAGTCGTTATGTAAATTATTCGCGTTGGAAATTTTGCGCTTAGCGGAGAGCACCACTTGACGGGGATAATTTGGCCCTCAGCTGAGCCATATTCCACGTAGATTTTTGTTTTCTCCCCTTGCGATTCCATTTTGGCTGGAAACTTGGTGCTTCCACCATGGTTTCTACTTAACCATACTTAACCGAGTTCTCTCTCTAGCCGTGGAAGATTGGTATAAACCGTTCTGGGAATTGCTCAGGGGCTCGAGGGGCATTCGCCTGTACAAACGTCTGGGCCCCAAAGCGTCGTGTACATGTCTCGTTGCTTGCATACTGCAACGATCTCTTCACCAGGTTCTCTCGTATCCACGTGCATTCACCCTCCCAAAACCGGAAAATATACATTTGCTCTAACAGTGTTGGCCCAGTGACTGTCTTGGAGTGCCAGTGTACATGCTCAATGTATCTCCCTCTCCCCCCCTTTCAATGCTGTACTTATTCGTACTATCTTCACTTGCATGTGCACATGAGAGCCGCAAGGGGGGAAGGCACAGTGAATGCCTTTAGCTTTCCATTTGCCTACAGTCTCAACAGCAATCATGCCAACATGAGCTACAAATTCGGTGTAATGATGGAACAGCATTTGCCAAATGAATTTCCTAGATTCACCTCTCCCCAAATTGTTTGATTTTCATTACCTTCAATTATTAAAATTGAATAAATTATTTTGTTGACTGTTTCAAAATTAAAAAATTCCAAAATTCTTCTTGGTGTTGAATCTCCATTATCATTTATTATGGAAATTCGTTGAATTATTTTACTGAATTTTATTGAATTCTCATATTTCCCCGGTGCATTGGGCATTAAATTTTATTGAATTATCAATGGATCGAGAGTTGAAGCGATCAGATGAATTCTCACCGTTTTCAATAATCCTCGTCAGACGACCTCGTTGCAAATCAGACAATGGCAATTTCACTGAATATTCAGGATATTATTAATAATTTCCGTTGATGCCGTCAGATGCCACGGAAAATCCGCTGAATTTTCAGTTATAATGAATGCGATAATGCGCTTGTAATCCGTGAATTCGAAATCTCTTGAGAGCTTTCGTATCCATGAGTACAATAACCAAACATGAGCCATATTCACCCATCGCTCAATGCCGAAACAATCGCTTGAGTAATGGGTTTCACTGAATGCGAAATCGGTAACAGCAAACAATCTATTAACCGTTCCATTCCGCAAAGTGATGGTTGCGCATTACGATAAGCCACAGTAGATTTTAAGATATTGATGTCGGCGTGTTGAATTGAAAGGTATTCCGCTCTAAGTGCCACACAATAAAGATATAACATTAAAAAAAAAAACACAATAGAAAATAACAGAGTTAAAAAATTATACAATTTTAAACATGACGGACAGAAGGAGCAAATCAATATCTTTGGTTTAGACCAAACTAGAGGGTTGTCGATAGATTCATATCGAATAATGATGGAATCGATCTCCTGTGAAAATCCATACCGATTAACTAAGGGAAAATGTCAGCTTGACACTGAGTACTTGATATGACCGTAAAAGTCGTAATCGAAAAGCATAAAAAATTTTCAAACTTATGGTGGTGCGGAAAATGAGGGTGAGAAATACCCTCTAGTAGGGGAGGTACGTCAAGTGCGCGTATATCGATTTACACGAGGGTCCTTGAAACTAAATTGATCAGACCATCAGCTACGCAAATGATCAATCATCGACAACTGGGGATATTCGATATCGATTGGCAATATTTTAACATTTTCACATACAGCGCACACTATGCACCAGAATACAACGTACCTCATAATGCACATTTGTTGTATTGCAATTGGAATGTACATGGGATTATCGGAATATGTGCTGGGCTTGCTTTTCATTTGTATTTGACACGTACGTGTCAGGCTATTTCCCGGGGTTTTGGTGTGTTTTCCCGCACATCGTTAGACCCAGCCCTTTTCATTGTATCTATTTGGGACCATTCACTTGTATTTTGCATGCCACCAACGAGCCGTACGCCTACAGCTAATTTATGTCAACTCGACGAACAAAACGCTCGGGACACGCATCGCGAATTTCGATTCATACTCCGCAAATCATGATTATCGTGGATTTTTATGGTTGCGTATTTGTTTTTAGTTTATTTAATTCGGGGTAGTCTCTTTGTTTGGAATTTCAATTAATTTTTGTGGTACTGGGGAGTTTACAGATATATACATGGAGATAAATTTACTGGACTTTTTCCATGGGCATTTCATATTTTTGTTGAGTTTTTACCGCAGATTGGAATTTTTACTGGAATTTTGGATTGACGGGTGTGGGTATTTCGAGTACAATTATTCTTTGGGGGAATTTCATTTAAATGGTAAATAATCATGGCCATCGAAGCCAGTGAGGGAACAATTACTAAGCCTCAGGGTTAATTTCACCACAAATTTTTTTCATACGCGTTCCGTGTACTCTGCACTTTCCGGAAATTGTTTGCTGGAGTTAAATATACTCGCATGTTGGGAATTTCAATATTCATTTTGCGGTGGAGAATTAAAATACCAATAACGTTAAAATGTATGCATTAGTCCGCGGCAATGTAGGGCATAATCAAAATACTTCCAGGATCTTGAATAAATTTTTATAAAAATTCTTGGAGGCGTCCGAGTAACAGCTCAATAAATTTATCATTAAAAAAATATTATTCCTGGAAATTGATGGTTTATCCATCAATGGGACTTGTTCAACCTCAAAATTCAAGATTAACTCCAAAAAACTTTCAATTTGTTATAAAAATTGTGGAATTTGAAAAATGATTTTGAAATTGTCAATAATAAAAAATTAGGAGGTATCATAAAAAATGTTCTTTTGGATTGGATTATTTATAAATTTTCGAGGATTATATTTATAAATTTTGGAGGACTTGGTTAATTTTGAGATTAATTTCAGAATACTGGGAGTTTGGTGGGGGCTGTAGGTAGGATCAATTTGTATCGATAAATAGAGCGATTCCCCAACACGATGTTAACTCCGTAGATGTTTGGTGTTGTATTGTATGAGGCCCCTGGGAGTTACCCTCCGTGCGCAGATTGAATCTGCATATAAAGGAAGTACAGGGGACATGGTCTTGTAAGCCTTGCCAGGGGACCTCATCGATTGCACTGCGAATTGCCGGACGTGTGCATTACAATATCATCCGTCATAATAACGGTGCCGCATTATCATGGCAAGTACTGGACAATCCATCAAAGTCCCTTCCCATAATAACCCAGAGAAAAATTTTATTCTCGTAATTGTTAATCCTCGAACAAATATTTTTTTCAGTCACCATAGCAGTGAAATTTTCGGTTTCATCAGCTTGAATATAATTTTTATTGAAAACCTCATTATTTTACAAATTAAAAAAAACACAATTCTGGTTGCGATAGGCTAGAAGAAGAGTTATTATTAATTTTATTATTATTAAAAATTTATTAATATTAAATTTAATTTTTTTTTATTGTTATTAAAAATATTTATTATTATTAAAAATTGAGCGTAAAAATGATATGTTCGTTTTCAAAATAGAAAAGAGGAAAAAAAAATGGTGAAATGTCGTTGAAGCTTCTAGTTTAGACTGTAAAATTCACGAATAATTTCCAGTTTACAAAGATAAACATAAATTAGGGGTTTAACTCACATATGACGGTTAAATTTCCGGTTCTGAACGCAGTGGCAAATGCAGGTCCTTCAGTGGATACTTCGCACTTGTATTGACCGGTACTGGCAAAGCTGACGTCCATGAGGCGTATTGCATTCTCTCTGCTCGACATTTTCTGCGAACAAACACGAATAAAATACAAAATATTTACCTTGCAAATGGAAAAGCTGATGCAGTTGAATTCGATCCCTGAATGAAGACGAGGTAGGAGCCAAAAAGTCGAAACGAGTTCGCATAATCATTCGTGTTTATAATATCGTGAAAAGGTGGAGTACCCGGAGGGTATCAATAACATTCATTTCAAGAGATGGAATATGTATGCTTTCGATGCGAAAAAGGGGATGGAATACAATACGCGATATCCAATGCACATTTTCTTTTGAAGAATAAAACACAAGAATATTGCGTCGTAGGCCATCCGATCGTTTGCCCTCGCGTTTATACCGATAGATCGTATTACTATCCAATGGATTCCCCTGGAGAACGTCGTGACCTGCATCAGGAATAGTCCTCGATTTTTCCTTCTGAACTCGGGCTAAATTACTTTTCGCAAGAAAGATTCACGTGGCACTCGAAAATTTTGCGATTAAAAAAATCGGAGCCCTCTGGGAGTGAAAAATATTTTTCTTTCGATTCTCTTATAAATCGTTGATCTGATTGATTGAAAATAATATTAATATCTGATTGATTGAAATAATAATAAAATGCCAGACGCTGTATTTTCAAAAACGAAAAAAATTATTAATTTCGCGCAACCACTTTTATAAATTATCCAAAAAAGTTTGATATATGTTAATAAAATAAAATATTCTTCAGGCTTATCTGATGGTTTTTTATGAAAAGTATTTTCCCCTCAGTCAGGGAAATTCGGACAGGAAAAGCTCGCGGAATATGTGGGCGGTTCTTTATCAAATCAGAATGGACCTCATTTATTTCCATGGCATAAAATTGAAATTGGTGGGGAATTTTTCCCCTCGATTTTTATGAAGTCCCGAGGGTACGATAAAACTTTTGCATCCCCGGAATAGACAGCCCCTTGAAGGTATCCAGGGGTTGAAACACACGTGAAATTCTCCTTCCTATGATAGTTTCGCACAATTTCGCCTAGCATGTGCTCGTCTCCACTTCCCTACCGAATTTTGTAGGAGAGGGCAGATTACAATTTCAAGTATTGCACTTGAGACTTGGCAATACGCTTTTGCCAGGGCTCGGTTGAAAATGCTGGGATGGGAAAGCCGATTACGTTCGTTGAAACAAATGACGGAATTTCAGCTTTGGTAGCTGATGCACGTGGCATTGTCGTGGTTGGTGTTAAGTATGACTGGTTTCAATTTCCATCGGTGCTCAAGCGACATTATTCGAATTGAGTTGTTGCATTTACGTCAGAGATGACGAGCCGTGGGTAAAAGCCAGGGGAATTCTATGAGAAATTTATACGTAGACATATTGAAATTTTACCATCAGAATTACCTCGGACAAGGAATTTGATAAGTCGAGAAAATTGAATAGGAATAATGGAGTTTATTTATTCCTTCGATGTAATTTGAATATTTGAGGTGTTGTAGAATTACGGACAATTTCTAGAAGCGAATAGAATAGAATAGAATAGAATAGAATAAAATAGAATAGAATAGAATAGAATTATAATTTCATGATTTTTACTGTTGGCGAAGTAACGACTTCTCGATCTTACAAATGAAGAGCTCTCCATCTGAATGGAAATAATGCTAACGATGCCCCACATCATCGAAATATATCCCCAAAGCCGTAAAAACCGTCAGCAAAACTATTCTCCTAGATCTTAACAATTCACTGGCCTGTCTATTTTTTCCACATTCATATATTCAACAACTTGGGTTTTTCCCAAAACTCCCTTGACCGTCTTAAAATCCGGTGAAATTTACGAAGACCATCGGTCACCGAGGATTTAAAATCACGGTACGTGAAATGGCAGAAGTATGAGCACAAGATGGAGGTCAGACGTTAGAGTAAGAACGAGGGGTGTGGGAAGTTGGAGGCAAAAGACAAAGAGTGGAGGGGAAAAAAGGGAAAAAGGAAAAGGGGGAGAGTCGAAAAAGGAAAAAGGCAGAAAGTGTAAGAAGAAATGGGTGCGCCGTCAGGCGAAAGAGCCCGAAGAACCGGTACGAGCACTCGATCATACTACGGTGTATCTTTCCCCCGTGACTTCCGGAAAAGTAACTTTTAACCCGTCGTGGAAATCCCACCATTCCTCCCACCATTCCTCCCACCAGAGTCTCCGAATCGTTGAAAGAGATGCTGCATCTCGATTCTCCCACGGATCGCTTGTTTTCGGTCATATCGCTTGCACATGAATGCACTTGCTATCTCTCCCCCTCCCTCCTCCCGGATGCAGATGTATGAGAAACTTTTCACCTCGATAAATAATTCGAGGATATATTTTTAGAGTTCTAAATTGATGGCTTTATGATTGCCGGTGAGAATTTATTTTTGGTTTTTCACCGCCGCTGGGTAAATTTCTGCTAAAAATCGTTATTCAAAGGAAATTTCCTATCGAATCACACTGGTGAAAATTTCATTTGAATTGATTGACTATTCGATGAGAGCTTGACATTTCATACTCATTCGGAAAAGTCAACATCAAGAACGATTGAATTTTCAATTAATTAAAATTTTTTCGACATTTAACCAAAAATTGGAAAATTTACTGGAATCCTTATTAAAAAATAGATTGATTCGTCAATCAAAAATTGTACAGAAATTTCGGGTCTAATTTTCCAGCAGTGATTTTTTATTATTCTTTCAATCACTCATTGTGTGGGAGTCTCACAATGGGGGGTAAGAAGGGGGAGGGGTATGAGCTACTTTTATAATTCAAAATATGCATCTCCACCAGAGATATGAAAAGTGATTTGTTCTGCCACAGGAAAGGAAAAAAATGTCATTCAATATTAAACGGTTCGCATTGACGAGAAACTCTTCAATGAGTAATACCTGTAGTGTTGTTCACTAGCCAGGAAAATTCTCTCATTCGGAATGGGAAAACGAATGCCATCGATTCGATATTTTTTTCATTTCCGTTGAATCGACATGGCGCAGTCTGCACTCCTACACACCCCATATTTAATTCTTTTTCTGCGCAGTTTCATTCAGATATTTATATTCAATGGCCCTAATAAAACGGGACAATTTCCGGTTCCATTCACATTTTTTCATTTCACCTTTTCATATTGTGAGAATATTAAATCCATTGATAAATTTTCCGATAAATGTGTCGTTGTCAAAATGATTAAAAATTCTGGTGTTAATTGAAAAAATCGTGAGATTTTCAAATGAATGACGACGCGAGACCTTGTATAACGTAAGTTTTATTTGGCAAAAGTATTTCGATCTCTCGTGTGCCGCAAAGGTATTAAAAAAATCAATTAGATGGTTTCTTTTAAAACGGCGATCGTGTTTAGCGGGTATTCCGTTAGGTTCTATCTACTTATTTTGAGACAGATCTATTACACGGAGTATGTGCACCGTATATATATTTTTTACTCGTTGAGGGGCACTAAAAGTAATCTAGTGCCTGGAAAAGTGGTGGGCCGCAGCGCCAAAGCGCTTTTAGTTTATTACTCTGAGAAAATTACTCGACGTTTTCCGGTGGAGTCGATCACCGTCTTACTCTCTTCCCCGTGAACATAGATCTTGAAGAACTAGAAGTGAGCCCTGAAAAAAGCAATTAAGAGAAATTGAAAGGGGGAAAAAAAGCCGGTCCTCTCGGGTCTTGGGTTTTATTATGCTCCAGAGACATATTGACCGACGATAAATTATACTCCAGTAGAGGTTTATGATAATTTCATTATCGAACGGATGATCGTTTGGTTCGCAGAGCTTGAAATTTCTCGGTGGAATTAATCAAACTTTCTGTTGGTCTTGTGTCGAACTAGCTAAAATCGGGGAAAATTGTGCTCGGTATGTCCTGGAAAAGTTCTCTCCAGGTCCTTCGGTTGACCTTGTTTTCGTACTTTCCATCTATTCTGCAGAGCTTTAACTTTCCAGTTTGTCTTTCTTCGGTGACCTGTATGTACCGATTCGCGGGGTCTTGCAATTTTCCTCTTCCACTCCATCATTTTCTATCATCTTCCCTGTCCGGGGGGATTCCAGGATGATGGAGTCCTTTCGAGTTGTCGCAGATGGGATTGAGACAGAACCGGTGAACATTGATCAATCCGTTTCGTTTGAGAAATTGGAGGAAAATAATTGAGGCGCCGGTTAATTGTCCAGAATATTTTGATTTGACGGGAAGATTTACCTAACGTTCCGCTCCAGCCCATGAGTGAAATTGAGTGAAATTTTTCCAATAATTTGGAGCCTCCGCGATGACTCTCAAATTTTTCTGGCAAATATTTCGATATATTTCGAGATGTATTTCCTTTCTCCTCTTTATATTAGGATGAAAGAATTTAGCAATTAGAAACATAAAAAAGAAGATGAGAAAATGCCCGGATTCGACGGTGAATTTCAAAGAATTTCATCATTGGAAATTGGTAATTTGATAGGAAAATCAATGAATCCTTGAAATCGCAATTTCACTCGTCCAACGAACAGATAAGTAACTGTACTTCCTGCAACCAATTCAGAAGGCTGGATGAAATGGCATTTTCCGAAGTGGCCACCCGAGAAAGGAGATGAAAGTTACACTTCCCGTGGGAACACGAATTCTCTCCCCCCAACACCAACCTGGAATGTACGTGGAATTCGACGTAATCAATCTTCCAGTGCTACCTTCCAGTACATCCACGACTACTCTCAATCTTCCACTCGTCTCTTCCTCACCGAGACCCTCAGCAACTTGTGAAATTTCATCCTCTTGATGTCCTCTCAATGTCCAGTAAAACACTTTTTTTCCACTGCCGAATTTTAAATATCAATTACTCTCCACTCCACTCGAAAAAAATTATTAAAATCACCTTCTGCGGTCATTTCCCACGGAAAGATTTCCTTCCTTTAATTAAAAAAAATTATTTACTCGTCGAATAATTTTTTTTTGAATTAATAAACGGTCTTAGTTAAGATTTTTTTAATAATTTATTTAATACAATTCGATTTTTTTAGTCTATAGATATGATTTTTCCGGGTGTAGATTGGTGGAGAGAACAAGAAATTTAGACTTGCAGAATAGGAACCATAAAAAAGGGGGAAAATACAGGAGCACACATGAGAGAAAACAAGGGATGTGAAATAGTGTAGCCAGAGGCTGAGAGGAATAAATGTACCGAATGATCTCCGCTCGGGTGGGTCAAATTCAAAGGGATTGTCGTTGATTCACTGTCAAGTAGATCGTTTCATCGTACCCCATGGAAAAAAGTAAATAAATACAGCGGGGGGACCGAGAGCGAACGACAGAGCAAAATAAATAAAACAACTCGGAGACAAAAAACTTTCAACGCAAATAAGAGCGCCAAGTTACCAAGGAAATTAATTTTCCACGCTCCAGAGCTACCCCTTTCTCTTTTATTATTCATTATCAGGGACGATAAAGATCATTCATTCGCATGTAGATGAGATTACGCGGGGATCATTGAACTTGGGTAATTTTATCTGGTCAATTTGAAGGAAGGTAATCATTACTTTTGTTTACTCACGTCTAGGTTAACTCCTGGTTGGGTGAATGTCTGTATTCTGGGATGATTACCCGGTATGTACCGGAAAAATTCGTGGCCATCTTTGTACCATTTTACTGAGTACAGGCTTTTTCCTCCATTTAGCTCCCACTGGCATGACATGTTAACTTCGTGAGCCAACTCGGCCTCTTTCGGGATCTGGGCTGTTACTTTCATGTCTGCAAAAAAATAAATTGTTTCAACTCTCATTATACACTGCTGAAAGATCACTGGGCTTTTCATACACTCAGGACCACAAATTTACGGTTACATTTCCCCTGAAGAACTTATCCTGACGGTGCAATTTAATTACATTATTTTATATAGCCTCCACTAAAATGCTTTTTATTTTATTACCTCACCGTAACAAGTTCTTGAGGTGAATTTTGCATAAATTATTCTCCGTATAATTGATGTATTTCTTAGATTAGAGTTGATTAGATTTAGTGAGAATTTCGGGAATTGAATTGGCGGAAGTAATTTTTCTCGGACTTTTTCCGCAGCTCAAGTTGTTCTGAACATTTGGAATTTGGTATGAATGGAGAATGGGGGTGATGAACCAATTGATTAATGAGTATAATTCGGAGATTTGGGGAATGACGGAATTTCCCGATATTTGCACTGTGTTCAACAGTCAAACTGCATGATCTATTGGGTTCAAGATCCGGTTAGAGTGCATTCAACTGGCAACATTTCGTTGCGACGTGCACGAGAGATCAGTAGAGGAGTTTGGGGGTGGTATGGGGGATAGCGTCAGTGGCATCTGTTTCCGGTTCGAAGCGATTCCCTTTCTCCAGGATCTTCCGGGCCGCGCACCCGCAATTTCCCGACATCTCTTTTCGCCCTTCTCTACCCGAGAGGGATATATTGAAAAATAAAAAATAAAAGCCCTTGCAGTAGAATTCGTCGTGTCGCGTCAGACACTTCAGCATTTGAAATTTCAAAGGGACTCAGGGAGATGCCACCTGCACCTGTTTCCATCAGATGAGAATTCGTGTAAGATGAAGTAAGAGACGATCCATTCGAAAGTATCACAGGGATTTTCATTCTCAATTCTGCCGGGAGGATTTTGGACAAATTGCCGGGATACGGAAAATATATATCGGGGGAGATTTCGCCATTTCTCGCTGGCAAATTACTCGAATCTTTACATTTTTTTTTGAAGACGATAGTTACAAAATATATAAGATATTTGGGTGAAATATATATTTTAATGGATCTATAGTTGAGAAAAAAATGTACCAAATCATTCCTCGAAATTGAATCGCAACAAAAATGAACTTTTGGGTATTCTGGAATCGAGGTGAATATTGTATTTATTTTTTATCTTCTTTACATCGCCAGCAGTTAAAGTTCTCTTTAGATATTTTCGACAGGGGAAATGTCCTCTCCTCTCCCCCAACTCCTGGAGTATGCTGAATCGAAACTTTTAGTTTTCCGTTCTCAACCATCCCCAAAAGATCGAGCGTTTTGATTTCTCCTGGTCTCCCCCATCCCCCGAGAATTCCTTGAAACGACAGATTTCTTGTGGAGAAATCACGCTTTGACCCTGTTAAGAAAACTTCGCCCAATGTATCTTTTTTCCCTCGGATTTCCCTGGTTTTTCCCCGAATCGACGACACGACGGACTTTAGAAATTTTACCTCACGAATAGCCAACGAGCTGTAGTTGACCGACTTTTTTTTTTATAATTTCGTCGTTATCATTCTTTATATCGCAACTTCTGGAGTGAAAAGAATCAAAGGACAAAGTTATAATCAGGAAAATTTCCGACCAAGCTTTCAACAAATTTCCAGGGAAGTTTGAAGAGTCCATTGGCTGGAGAAACCGTTGAGACTGGAGAATTTCCGGGTTATAATTCATCCTCTTGAAATTCTCTTACGTAATCTTCACACCGACACATTAACAACACGAAACGAGTGAACATTCATTAACGAATGGCCTCGGAGTAATTGCCGCGGTACTTGGAATGCCAGCAACATAGTCACCCTTTGTCATTGTTTATTACGAGGTACCCACCATGTCTCACCTGTTGTTAGGGAGTGAAAATCAAGAGTGACGTCCTGGAGAATTCTGGACTCCCTGATTATCTCATTTTAACGGTAACATCCTCGACACCACCCAGAATGCGAAAAGTAAATTCTCTCAGGGTTTCCCATTAGCCACTAACTCCCGTAATGATTTTACTTTTTCATTTAAACATTTTTCCAAGTCTCCACGCGGAATAACATTTCCGCAAAAAATTCTTGTAGCCATGGAAAAAAATTCCAGTGCTGGAATAAATTCACAAAATAAAACCATAATATTTATTAAAAAAATACATTTTTAATGGACTTATCGGGTTTCGTTAGAATGCGTAGTTAAATTAATTACGAATTATTCCCGTGAATTTCAAACTCAAAAATACTGATAATTGAATGAATTCAATTGCTTTCGCGTGAAACTCTCACAACTCTTCATGTCAAATGAGTAATTGATATCGAATTATTTATTACCAATTAACTAAACTCCCAAGAATATATTCACCATAATTTCCCATGCACCCATTAATTTCCCGCTGTAATTAAACATTTTCATCAAATATTTATATTCTACACATGCATCAACCGTAATTATAATTTTATTGAATATTCATTACGTCGACTGTTTTTGCACTGGGAAAATATAAACTCCCAATATATTAATAACCGTTGAAAATGCTATGACGGTGTGTTGTCTCTCAATTGTAAAACAACCCCCGATAATTATCTCAACTCCGAGAAACTAATCAACACGATGTTATTCGCAACCGAAATTTTACCGAAAAATAATGACATATAATGGGGTCACAATGCATTAGTGACGTCAAGCGTGTAAAATGAATACGCCCAGAGGAAGACAGGATGAGGAACGAAGAGGGATGAATAGCAGTGGAAAATTGAATTATACGGTGGTACGTTAACGCAGTCGGTGGACATTTTCGCGAAACAACCCCCCATGGATCGTAGTTATCCCCAGTGCCACTAATTTATCGCCCCGTTCATAATCCATCGGACATTAGCGCTTGAGGCATGCAACACGTCATCAGGTCACGTCTAAAAATTGATCAGTCAGAATTATTACCCTAGAGATCCAAAAAGTCACCCAACAAATTAAATTCGTTTAATCATCCACCGTGTTCAATTAATTATAATTATTTTTCCGCGCTCTAATATATCTCCGCGATTCCCATTAGCACTAATTCCCACCGGCGTCCAAAACTAATGAATGTAATTCTGCTTTTACGAGCTGTAAAAAAAAGGGAAAATGTATAAATAGGGAAAACAGACGGGAGAATGGAGTGAAATAAAGTGAAACAATGGCATAATCTCGTAAAATTGAAATAGGGAGCTACCGTCGTTGGGTATGGGACGTATTAGATGAAAAGCTGAAGAATTCAAGTGCTATTTCTCAAGCACGATTCTGTGGAGCCGTAAATTTTATTACACCAGAGCTATCGTATTGTAGCATGAATCGAAAGATAGCAATTGGTTGAGAGGTTCATTCACCTTTTGCACAGCCCATGATATATCCCACGGGGAAAAAAAAACGACGAGAATTGCGTGTCACGTAATTGGACGCTGGAATTATGATTTTTATGAGTTTTACAGGAATTCCGTTAATAATTAGACGGCGAAGGATCAATATTCCGTTTCAGTTCCATTAGGGATTATTCCTAAGGGATAAATAAGTCGAGTCGTATAATTTCGAGTTTTCAGATGATCGACGAAAAATCCGCGAAATTTCATTTTTTGGTTTTTTCATATTGTCATTTTTTTTTCAATGTTCAAGGGATTTATTAAAGTATTTTCAACTCGATATTTGAATCTAGAATTGCACCAGTGTGAGATATTTATTATACAATACTTGGTTCAGGTACTTTGGAAAGAAATTGATTAGCGGAAAGTTGTGAAGTTCCGGGTGAAATTCCGCGGATGTACTACCGCGGATGTGACTATAAGCGAAAATTCTTGTTCGAAAAGTTTCTCCTGAATGAGCTAACCCGAGTATATCAAATGATTATTAGGGCGTAGACTCATTAGCCATCTTGATGTGCTCAAAACTGTAGGATAAAGTTCAAATATTAGCACGAAACTGGAAGTACTCGGTGGAAACTTGCACTCGACACGGCCTTATTTATTAAATTTATTAACCAATAAATCCAGATGAATTAAATTGCCGATAAATTCGGTGAGCATTTGTGAATATTCGAAAATTAATTGAAAAGGCTGTGATTGCCGGGTGACCAGTTCACCTTCTTCGGTGATGGAAATGGAAATGGGAGGGACGCAATGAGTGACGAAGTTCGTTCCTGATTTGATACAATCGGCATCTCGACGATGTCATGGCGTCTGAAACAAACCGAGAGAATCACCTACTTGTCGTGGAAATCCTCGGGAGCAAGTTCCATGAATACTCCGGTGACAACCCCGACAAACTTGGAATTAGAGGGAGGAATATGGGGTGAGGTTGCTCCATGTTTCGAGGGTCGATTATTGCCGTTGAGGGGCCATAAACCTGAAGATTCAGAAGTCACTCCACATAGTCTCGCTATTATCTGATCATTAATTGAAAATTCTAGTAGTCATTAAAAAATCCCCCATTTCTAATAAATTGTTGGAAAATTACCCTTTAAATTGCAGGTAAAAGTGACATGAATTTTCTACAGAATTCTTCATTAAGGAATCATTAAATTCCGTAACTCTGAAAATTCCGCAAGAACCTGTAAAAATTCAAGGGATATCTCCGAAATTTACTATTCATCGAAAAATCAATGATCCTTCAAAACGAAAACCCCAACTTCCTCAAATTGAATTAAACAACAATCTTTATCAATCGAGCATAAAAACCACAGACAAAGCAAAAATTCCATTAATTTCTCACATAAATAAAACGAATGGTGTAAATCTTTAACTTTTCTAATTAAATAAAATTTTTAACTCCTCCCGAGTGAATTCCGACTTCGAATTTCCATTGAATTTAATCCAAAATCCCTCTCAAAATTCTCATACGGTAAATTAATTTTTTTGGGAAGTAGTTTAACAGCTGAAATAATCCCTTGATAAGCATATTCGGGCCGTGAATGGCGGACGAGCTCAAGACACCTATATGCAGCTCGTCTGGATGGGTAAATACCGATTGTGGAGTGACGTACATATGC